GGGGCTGGCGCGGCTCCAGCCCGACCGGTCCCTCCGGCAGAGCGGGGCCGGCAGCCTCCCCGGCCGCGGCGGGCTTCCCAGGCGGAGGCGTCCAGCCCCCGGCGTCGAGCCCGTGCGGGCTGGGGGCTCCAGGGCTGGCCGGCCCCGCGGGGGTCACAGCAGTGCAGCAAGTCTCTGCCCGGGGCTGGGCCGAGTCAGCCCTGGGGCCCGGCTGCCCAGGGATCCCCTAGATTGGCGCTGGAGCTAGAGGGGCTGGGGGGCGGCCGCACCCCCTGGCTTGAAGTGGTTTCCATCACATACAGGGTTTCCAGTTTGGTTCAAAGAGTCCTGTGGCACCCTAAAGACTAACAGCCGTGTTTCCAGTGCCCCTGCCTGGACCAGCAGAAGTTGGTCCCATCCAAGCCATAACTTGCCCGTTTCTCTGCTGATCTCCTGCGCCCAGTCTGGCTACACACCACAGGGGGAACCGCATGACCCCATCCCCCCAAATGTGAGCAGGGGCTGACCTGCAGTGGCAGGCCAGGCTCCCTGGCCCTGTACTTGAGCCTGCAGCCTGGCCTCACCGTGCAGGGGGAGTTCTCTCTTGCCCTACAGGCCTCAGGCCCCAGCAGCTCTTCCAGAGCTCCACCAGAACCAGGAGTCCTGGCTCCCAGCCCCCGCCCAACTTGTGGTTCTTCCTCCCACCTGCTGCTTTGGGTTTGGGGAGCCAGTTGCTAAGGGAGCAGATTGCTACTTAGGACACCTGGGTTCTCTTCCCCCATGGCCTTGGGCAAGATGTAGGCCCCTTCCCACCTTTAGACTGTGTTGGGGCAGGGACTGTCTCGCCCTCTGTCTGCAGCCACCTAGCACCCTGCCCTAATCCATCCCACCTTTCCCTGCATCTAGGCAGAGGTTTGTGCCTGGAGTTAACCTCTGCCCGAGTACCCCCTTTAGCTAGTCTCCTTTCTCGAACCAGCTGCCTTACCCTGCCATCGCTGCTGAAACAGGACCCCTGAAAACCTGCTCTCCGCTGGGCCTGCTGCTCTGGACACAGGGGAGCTGGTGCTTATCAATGGAGAAGGGTTTGTCCCCTGGCTGTTTCCCGCACCCTTTCAGACTGGCAAGGCCTCCCTTGTCGCTCGTTCCCCAGACTCCAGAGTTCTGTACTCCCTTGTCACCTCTCACACTGGGAATGCATTGGAACTAGCCACTCCACGGTGCCGGCATTGCACCAGGCTTATGGACAATAGAGGTGAGAGGCTGCAGGCCCAGCAGAATAACACTGAATGCCCATGATAGGGGGGAGGGATAGCTCAGTGGTTTGAGCAGTGGCCTGCTAAACCCAGGGTTGTGAGTTCAATCCTTGAGGGGGCCACTTAGGGATCTGGGGCAAAATCAGTACTTGGTCCTGCTACTGAAGGCAGGGGGCTGGACTTGATGACCTTTCAAGGTCCCTTCCAGTTCTAGGAGATGGGATGGGATGGGATAGCCTCACCATGGAACTCGTCACATTTCACTTCCTGTTTGTGTAAAGACAGCTCCTGGCTGGGTCCCCCGTGGGTGTGCTGAGCCTAGTGGCCTGCTAGGCCAGGCTGAGCACTTCCTGGCCAGGCTCTACCCTGCCATCCTTTGATCCCCAATCCCTTTGGATCCCTTGGCAAGGGGGCGGAGCTAACTCAGGGAGAATGGATTTAAAAAACCAGCTCCTAAGTGACCAGAGGAGCTAGTGAACAGGAGCAGCAAGCGAGGGTTTAGAGAGGGAGCGTGAGACCCAGATGCACATAAACATTCTCTAAATGTAGGCCCATAATAACCCTAAGTTATGTGCCCTGTGACAGTCATTGCACCTCCGTGTGGAGCCACGGATTGACATGCTCGCTTCCCGTCTCATTACATAGAGCGGAAACAATTCTGGAATTCAAGGGTCAAGCCTTTGTAAAGTTTACCCTGTTCACAGCATTGTCCAGCACCTCCTTCAAGTTGGTAGGCATCCTTTTGGCAGCAAGCGCTTCCCTAGGTATACTGCAAAGCACCCACATTGCCTTGGGAGCATCTGCTCTGATACGTGTCACTACTCCACTACGCCTGCCAGTCATTGGCTTTGCTCCATCGGTGTTGATGCCAATACATCGTGACCAGGTGCTGTGTTGATTTATGAAGCTGTCAAGCGATCGGAAAATCTCCTCAGCTGTTGTTCTGGTAGACAGTGACTGGCAAAGCAAAATACCCTCCCGTATAAATGTACCGCACGTACACCAAAAGGTGAGCTAAGCCTGCCACGTCTGTGGATTTGTCCAACTGCAGAGCAAAGTACTGGCTGCTGGTGACACGGTTTACTAATTGAGTTAGGACATCCTTGGCCATGTCATCAATTCGACGTGACACTGCGTTGTTTGATAATGGCACAAACTGAATTAATCTGGGGCCTTCTCTCCAAGCAGAGCACTTACCATGTCTGCAGCCACAGGTCGTGTTAGCTCCTCTGCTCTGGTGGAGCTAACTTCACAACTCTGTAACTCACTAAGTCTGATGCTTCAACGGCCTTCATATGTCAGTGGCAGCAAAGCCCAAAACTCTCTTGCTTGCCATTAGCTGCGCCCGTGTCCGCTTGAAAAAAATTCTGGTGGTTCTTCCTTGTGTTGTTTATGTTTTGTTTCCAAGTGTCTGTGTAGAAGAGTCGGTTTTAGGCAGTTATTCAACAGGACTTCACCACATAACACACACTGCAGCTGAGGGTATTCACTGTCTCCAGTCCAAGTAAATCCCATTTGGATGTGTGTAGGGAGGCCGTGTGGTTCCCCAGTGCCCTGGAGAGGGACGAGCTCCGCCAGACACCAGAGTGGGCGGAGCCAGAGCACTCCAAGCCCGCCCCCCAGAGGGTCAGAGGCCGGACAGGAAGTATAAGAGCTCAACCCCAGAGCTCACTCAGGAGGCAGCTGCTAGAGAGGCCAGACACCTCTGGCCAGGGGCGGCTCTAGGCACCAGCAAAGCAAGCACATGCTTGGGACAGCCCACTTGCAGGGGCGGCAGGGATCCAGCCTGGGAGCTGAGAACCAACAAGGGGCCCTGGGAGCTGTAGTGCCTTGGTTAGCTCCCTGCCTATAGAGCCAGCCCTGGAGCAGGGAGAGAACTACATTTCCCAGCATTCCCTTGGCCACTACCAACAGGAAAGAGGGGGAGGGAGTGAGGTAGCTGAGACTTCATGCTGCAGCCTGCTGTGAATGGAGAGCTGCACTGTAAGTAAGGATGCCATATTTTAACATTCAAAAAATGGGACACTCCACAGGGAGGGAGGGTAGCCCCACCCTGCCCCCATCCACCCCCTCTGACTGCCCCCCACACAAACCCCAACCCATCCAACCCCCCTGTCCCCTGATCACCCCCTCCTGGGACCCCTGCCCCTAACTGCTCCCCAGGACCCCACCCGCTATCTAAGTGCCGCTGCTCCTTGTCCCCTGATTACCCCCTCCCGGGACCCCTGCCCCTACCTGCCCCTTGGGACCCCACCCCCTAGCTAAGGCTCCCTTCTCCTTGACCCCAACTGCCCCCTCCCGAGACTGCCCCAACTTCCCCCCTAGGATCCCACTCCCTACCTGTCCCCTGACAAATCCCCCGGACTCCCATGCCTATCCAACCGCTGCCTGTCCCCTGACTGCCCCCCAACCCCTGACCCATTTAACCCCCCCTTCTGACTGCCCCCCCGAACCTCCGCCCCATCCAACCCCCAACCCCCTTACCGTGCCACTCAACCAGCATGTCTGGCTCTGCGCAGCGCCAGACACACTGCTGCATACATGCTGCTGTGCTCCCCCACGGAGCCACAGCCCCCTTCCCCCAGCACCTGCCTTCCAGATTTGAACACCTCAAAATTCAGGAGTGCTCAAGCTCAGTTTGGGCAGCTGTTACTTCATTTCTCCCAAATTGAATAT